GTCATGGGGACTTGCGGTGTTACGGAGTTGGACTATTTTTAGTGCGGTGATATGGTGACTAAGGCTCCAAATTTGCGGTGTTGCGGTGACTGAAAAAGGCGCGGTGTGCGGTGATTGTGCGTTTTACCTTACGGTGATACGGTGAGATGATATTATTATCCAGGGATGCCGGAACCACAGGTGCTGTGGATGCAAGTGCACCCCATGCCTTTTGTATTTATAACTTTTTGGGTGCAGACTATTGGTGCAACGGGTGCACAAAAGATTTAAAACGAATATATTTAAATAATTTCACACAAACAGCAGTGGCGTAACGAAGGAAGATGGAGCCCTTGGCATATTTGGTGTGGGGGCCCTGTTGACTGTTGTCATTGTTTGACTGAGATATTATATTTATATTGAATATCTACAAAATGTTCCGGGAAATTCTGTGTCCATAACAATAACGGTCTCCAACACATGTAACAACTAATAAGAATAACTTTTGTTTTATTTGGGATGGAATAAAAAAAAACAGTTACCGTCTTCGATGGAGGCTTTATTATTTAACATTACTAATTTTTCATTTCCACATTGACTCTTAACCTGCATTTTTACGTAGGTTTTCTATTTTGGGGGAATAGGACCTAGCCGATGAGGGCCCCTAACTGGCTGCGGCTGCAGCCCTCCCAATAATTTGCTAATAATAATTCCTTTGTCAAAATCATACAGACCTTTATCATCTAAATAATATACTTTTAAAATACCGACAATTGATAAATTTTTAGCGGCTACATTATCCATGACAAACTGCAAAGAATAATATTACCCATATTTTCTCCAATATATAGTTAATTAAATCCACATTCGCCCATTTAGTCAGTACCACTAAATTGTAAGCAACATGCAAATTGTAAATTTCGACATACTAAAACGCTGCTTTCTGACCATCAGAATTCTGTCAAAACCTGCCCCAAAGTCCAGGAAATGGCATTTCAGACACTCTAAATTTAAAAATTTCCTGGGTCCTTCGGCCCACGTTTTCAGCCCCCAAATCAAAAAGAGCTTCCCACAGCAGTACCCTAATATGTCTGTGCCTAAAATATGCGTATTTTTGTTTGTAAATTGCGTCTTCATCTTCATAGCAAACACCTTTCTGGTTTCGTATGCCATAAAATATTCGGAATTTTTTTGAATTTTGTCACTCAGAAATTTTTGGCATACACCCCCACCCCTCCCCAACTATACATACTAGCTACGGCCCTGTTCATAACTTATATAGTGAAGAAGCACAAAAAACTTTCTTCAGTAGAAGAGATTGCGAAACTGTTCTGCTAATTCTGTGTGCCTTATTTTAATGTTTGAAATTAATAAAAGGTTGCTTTATTGCTTGTGTTTGATTTTAAATTAGGTTATAAGTAGGCAAGTGCCATTTCGTTTTTGTTTCTGCCCTTTTTTAAAAAATATGCCTTTCTGATAGCAAAACGCACCCCTCGCCCTCAGCAATTTCCGGCATCCCTGAGTATTTCTGTATAGTTTTGGTCAGTTTTGCGGTTAAATCCACATATTTTTTTCAGTTGTTTTTTTTTAAATCCACATTGATTTTTTTGGCCTAACGACGACCTAACTCACGACCTATAATCTAATAACAGAAATTAATAAACCTTATGGAGTTATGGGACGCGGCAATGACATGTTTGAACCGTATTTTTTCCATGCGGTATTTACAATTTTTTTTTGCGGTGATGCGGTGTCCTCGAACGCATTTGTACGGTGTTGCGGAACCCCCAATGACCCCCCTGTAAAATACAGAAATTACAGAACGGAGCGGCAACAGCCGGCAAGGGCGATCACGAGGTCTAGCTATGATATACCAGTGCGAGTATATGTACTTTTACATACTTTCCGCTGGCATAACCTTTCTTTAAGACGTAAAAAGGCTAAAAATTTTGTCTAATTTTTAAAACACTGAAAGGTACAATCTAAGGAATTTTGAAATGAGTTTGAATTTGCCCAAGCCATGATTGAACAAATTATTAAAATGTTATAGTGGGGCGCTTTTGTGGAATAGTCTTCCTCAAGATATACGAAAGCTCCAATCGATATCACAGTTTAAGAAAGCTATAAATGAGTACTATAATAATTTAAACGCGAACTCCCACACGCGACAATCTTGTAAACCAGTGGTAGACTTAGTTAATTAGTTCAGATTTTTTTGTTACTGTATATATGTTTGTTAGAATATCTATATACTGAAGATTTTACCGTGTTTAAATAAATTTTAATAGTTTTGTTTGTGGAAACACCACGTAAATTTATTACTGCAAAGCTTTCGATCCGTAAGCCCGGATCTTCATCAGTGCTAATATTACAAAACTATATTTTATCACCATGCAAACATACAAAGAACTTATAAATAAATTTTATTGTGTTGTTTTATTGTTGTTGTATTGAATCTTGCATGTATGTATATACATGCATGTTCATGTGTTGGAACTTCCATATGGAAAATACTTATAGTTGATAAAATCTAAAACTGTGGAGGTCCAGCGGTGACCGCGGGCCACAACTGTAGGAAACTACAAAGGTAGTCGCGTGCATAAAACAAGCCATCAATACGATATTTCGTAATAAACAAGTCTGGATTTCTTGGAATTCCTTGCGTCAGTCATTTCGTTGTACAGAGCTATCCACCGCGCGGGTAACGATTTTTTTTAACCGTAAAAATGCCTGAAAAACTGTGAAACACAGTCAAGGACCTCACAATAAATATAAGAAACTGTTCAATGTAAAAAGACTAAACTTCAATCTTCCCCATACGATTTAATGGTCAATTTTAGAGAAGTTGAAAAAATCGCTATCCGGTGGATAGCATGTACTATCTTCTGCATGGCCTTCGTACAACCGACCCATGTAATCTTTTGTTTAGATACAATATGGATCCAAGTTGGTCAGAAACTGGTGATCGATACTTGATCAAACTATTTCGAGATTACTTATTTCATCAAGTGACAGAAACAGGAGAACCTTGGCTTGATATGTCTCACATTGTTTCATCATTGAACAAGGTAAGAAAATTGCACAAATTGAACAATAAAGTTGCCATATATCATGCAGATGTTTGTCTATTTAACCATGACGCTATGCGGGAAAAATCTGGGTCATGTCGCAGCTTACACCCTTCCGTAAAGTACGTCATTTTCGCTATAAGCCTCGTTGTAGCCAAAATGATGTACTCTCCGGAAGAGTGTATCCCACCAACTCAAGGTTTTCTAAAGAACGAAGCAATCATTGTTGTGAACACAAAACCACATTTATATGAGGCAACAACACAAGACATCCAGCATACTTCATTTTCACTTACATTTTCTGTTCCTTTTTCACATCCCACCTAATTAAAAAGTTATTCCTATCCATTACCAACCTACTTCTTGCGTCATCGCTGATCAGCCAAGACGAGATCTGAGGATACGTTGTGGGGAAAATTAGAAAACCAGCCCTCACCAAATTAACTTGATCGATTAATCAAGTAATATGTATAAACGACATGCCGTCTAAAGTGGAGGAACCTAGTTATTTGGAATCTTATTTTAAAAAATAATTTGCAATGTCATGTTAGGAATTTAGTTAACTTACTTAGTATAGTTAACTTACTTTACCTATAAAGTCACTTTGCGTTTTAACCTAAATAGTAAATATCGTATACACTTCAATTATAATTTTAGTGTGCTCTTTTGTGCGATGGGGAGTGGTGTCGTGACAGGTTAATTTTGCTGCATATATAGTAACTATTGCATGGTTTACACTTCACGTATTATCATTTTTTCTAGCTTGATTCTGGATCTCCGGAAAAGATTTGTTTAATATCACGAGATGAGCAGAGTGTTCTGGTTGTGTCTTACCGTGATCTCAAGGAGTGCTTTGATGGTGCGTTTAAGGAATTAACATCATCAAGCTAACGCTTAAAACAACCACAACAAGTCAAATGTTTGATCATCATTCTTGTGTAAATATATCTTGTACAGACACCTAGAGCTTTAGAGAATATTAGATAATTTTCTAGAAGTGTATATTTGTAGGAATTTCGAAATTTTAGTTAAGTGATTGTCATGAATAAATGACAAACGCTCGTTAGCTATATATATATTTATATTCTCAGTCCAATTCAGACACCACGCTTCACATAAGCTGCCTGCCTTGTATTTATAGCAATTAGAAAAAATAGTTGCTTCTCTGAAACTTTCACCTCTGTTCATATTAAATAATTTTGTGTTTTTAATTTATTTAAATCAAGGATCACACAAGAGGTTTTTGATAATATTTTTATTTTAGCTATGTTTCGAATAGTAAACTATCCGAAACATAGCTAAAATAAAATTAGCAAAAACCTCTTGTGTGATCCTTGATTTAAATTAAAAACACAAAATTATTTAGAAAAAATAATGTATCTCTGAAAATTTAAAGGTATACGAATCTTTCAGCGAGAAATGGTGTTTCGCCTTCTAGGCCATTTCGAGCGGAAAGAAACAGTCCTCGGGTCAGCCAACATCTAATAAATCGGAATTTATTCATAAAATTATATTTCGCGAACGCTGTAAGAAGGAAAGTAGATTGTTAACTGCCACAGTACTCTCTGGGGACAAAATTTCAGATTTTCAGTCTCCAACGCGGTCAGCACTTGTTTCCATGTACCAAACTGACATGACGTCATTTTCGGTTGATGGAAGAGTTGTTAAATGGCTATGTAACTAACCCAAATCCTACCCCTACTCTAACCCCTATAACCCTAACCCAATTAATAAAAAAATCCAAAAAGAAACAACGTAACGTCAGTTTGGTAGATGGAAACAAGTGAAAACCCTCCAACGCAGACTCTCGCTGCACCGTGGGAAAGTCAAATTTCTGCAGAATTTGTGTGTACGACTTTCCCATCATGCAGTGAAGGCATGTTGTGGAGGCAGGCAACCTTATGAAGGTGCATGAGCCCGAGCGACGGGATCTTGGAAAAATCTGCATGATTGAGCAAAATGACTATTGTCAACTTTTTTGTCAAAATTTAGTATTTGCATTCGTAAAATCTCCCAAATCATGCCCATGACTATGTTACTAAAGAACAAGTGATGGGCGTGTGTAAAGCACCGTGTCTGAACTGGACTACACTGTATTATTTGAATGTCGACAATGGAAAAATGAGCGCAATTTTTATAGTAAACTATAAAATTGTATCTATATAGGTAAATATATTGAAAACAATAAATTTTCTTACAAAAAATAGCTTTGTGTAGCATGAAAGTTCATGGATATCTTGTTATATGTGTACATCAGAAAATTCGTGTCCACGTGCGCTTCCTCCGAGCGTGGCAAGGCAAGGAAAACGCATGTAAAGATGATTTTGTCAACATGGCAAGTTGAAACTGCATGGATGAATTCAAAGCACAAGTAACCACAAAACCGCTGTGGGTAGCGGAGGTGAAGACCCTGGAGTATCAGGTTGAAGAAGTGGGTTGAAGCGAGGTTGCGTAGGGTTCCGAATTCGTCCGGCCTTGTTATTCTCGTACCCAGAGCCCTTCTTACACGCGGTCAACGGAGCGCGACCAGGGGCTCTGGCCAAATCCATATCAAACTGGCATCTGATTGGCTACAACGAAGGTTACTAATACCGGACATATTCTGTTACCATGTTTTCATGGTATCCGGTTATGGATTTGGCTAGCCTGCGTAGCAGGCATTTAGCTGACGGGCAGGAACTGAGGAAACGCCTGCCCACATGGCTATGACAAATTTGTTTTCGCCCATTAAGGATGATTGACGTTTTGTAATTAGCACATTCACCCATTGTCCAATCATAGTCGAGATTTATATTTAGCACCATGCATGCTTTTTACTCGGCAACTAGGGAGATTTGCAGAGATTTTATGTAGTATTTAAAACATGAGCAGCAGTGTTTTATCACATATAATTTATTAAATCATATATATTATTAAAATTACTTCAATTACTTAGTTCTAACTTATGATTTTAAAACAGCAAACATGGTCACACAAAAGAACATTCATATATTTGTCTGTTGAGCAATCATTTGATGACATTGGGTTCTGGGATACATACACCCACACTTCGGATGACACAAAGTTACTCTCAGGGTGTTAGCCAGAAGTAAAAAAAAATCTGCGTTTACCTGAAATTGGGAAATTTATTTTAGCCTGAAGCCGGGCATTTCTTTGTGGGTCTGGGGCATGCGGTTGCCTCCTCTGATTTTTAAAATTTTTGTGTCTTTGAAATGGCATTTCCCACATTTTGGGAGTAATTTTGAGCAAATGTAGTTATAAACATGTTTTTAACTATTTTTTGGCTGACCCAAATTGGGAAATTGCGACCTCAAGGTAATTGGGAAAACCGTGTTTAACGCGGAATTTTTGACTGTAGCTAACACCCTGACTCTATACTCTATAGTACTACTAATTTAAATTTCTCCATTATTTATGCATTTATAACATGACCTATTAACAAAATATGTTGGGTTTGTTGGTCTATAAAACTTGTTGAGATAAAGATTAACATGTTATCATATATTAACAACTTGAACAACCCCCCCCCCCCCAAGAAAAAACACAAATCATCTGGATTGGCAGGGCGACAGGGCACCATCGGTTTTGGCAGGGCAATTCTGCCAGACACCCCCAAATTAAAAGGGGCTAGTTTCGCCTGTGAACAACGCAACTATATATCCAAACCTGGCAATATATACAATGGGCCATCCCAGAAAAGATCCACACCTTCCCCACAGAAAAGATTGGAATTTCATCCCCTCCTAACACTTTCCTAAGTACTGTGAGTGGATTTCTCCCTTCCACCTCTGAACTTAACAAATATCCTCTGTGGGGGAACGTTGTTCTGGAATCAACCAATGTTGTTCATATATGTTTACAACAGGAAATAAACTTTCTCCAGTTTACATGAATACATTCATGAGTCATTTACAATGTTTGTACATCCTGCATGATATAGCTAAATTATGCAAAGCAGTAAATGATAGTATAACAATTTTTTACTTAAACTGATCATATGATGTACTAAATGTTGCACCTGTATGAGGTGGATTTGTGCTGCCTTGATTTGTCCATTCTGGCTGCTCACCCTGTATAACATTCATTATCACAACTTGTTTTCTCACAATTCTGAAGTATATAAACTTGACAAAAAGAAAAACAAATGGTGTTGCAAACACTAGAACATGGTAGGCGACATACGCTTCAAACATGCTTGCAAAACTGGTGCCAAATATTATAATTGCCATCATTGGAATAATTAGCAACTTTATCAGAAGGTAGTTATGACTTGCTGTCCGAGAACCAATAGGAATCACATGATGCGTAAGATATCGTTGACTATTACCAAGAGCTATGGTGAATATCATAAACTGAGACAAACCAGCAACGCCAACTATTAAACAACCAAATTGAATAGCATGTCTGTCACTGTCATATTCATCATTTACATATTTGTTAAGGATAGATACAAGAAATGGGAGAGCTCCAACACAGGATAATGATACATTATTAATAATCATCATTAGATAGTTCACTTTTTTGAGGGAGTAAAACAAGGAATGATGAACAAACCAAAGTAGACCACAAACAGCAAAGGTGCCGACATATGTAAGATACTCAGAGCGCATGTGTGACAATGTCTTTGCCATACCATGTGTTTTGACATCATCTTCTGAGGGGAAATTATCTGTAGTGATATCCAGAACAAGTAAAGTTGCAACGATAGCATAAACACCATCAGTGTAACACTCAACTCTTTCTTTACAGATGATATTCTCATACAAAAATATGTGCTGCTCTTCCTGAACAAATCTCATCTTATAAATAACAACCTCAACAAGCCGGTTGATACAAGGTGCAATTATCACAAGTATGATAAGTGCCCAGGAAATTTTGACACTCACAAAACTCAGGCCAGCTGCAAAAATATACAGTACAGGGTTCAATAACTTTCGTTTGAGGATATAGTTTCTCTTCTGTTGTAGTTCAAAAGGAAGAGCATTCTTCAGTTCTGCACGGAGAAGTCTGTTTTGAGTGAATGTGTAGTAAATCATAATCATTTCAATAAGTTCCAAAACAAGTAATAAACCACAGCCAAGTACCAATGGTATTTTTTTCTCAGTGTATTGACCAACAAGGCGGACTGCAAACGGCAAAAATGAGACAAATAACAAGCTAATAATATTTAACCAAACAAGTACATCGTCCACGCTAGAAATCACTATCCACCGCATAATATGAGATTCCCAGACGGAGCAAATGACAAGGAAAGCAACAAAATACACAATGATTAGGTCTTCGTGGCTCTGCAAATAATCAACAAAATCTTCGTTGTTAGATTTCACGACGTTTCGCAAAGGTAAAATAAGTATTGTAGCAACGATTGCAGAAACTGCATCGCTAAATGCTTGTAAACGACCAGCATCGTAAGAATCAAGAGATTGCTCCATTTTCATATATTTGAAAGTCAGGGAATTGAAAGTAAAACTGAATTGTTGGAGTAAACTCAGAGGAGTAAACTGTTATAATTTACATTCTTGAATCTCGTGGCCTGCTAATGCGCATGATCATATGGCATGTCAAGAGTCAAGAATTCTCAGAAAATTGAAATTTGAGAAAATGGCAGAAAATATTAGATAATAGATATCCAACTATTCCAAGAACTTTTACGGTTTTACTCTGTTATTTTCTTAAAATTATTAACTTTGTATTAAGAATTCTAAATTCTAGGGCAAAGAAAATGGTTCATCCACCCGTCATCCATTATGGAAAGTGGAAACACGCAAGTTCGAAGTGATCAACATGGCGGCCGATAGCTGTAGTTCAAATTGTGATGGTCATGGTCATAGTCATGGAGATAACAACAAAAAAGGTGCTGAAATGGATATTTATAAAGCTGCAAAATCTGGGTGAGTTTGAGTAAGAGTTTATTTTTTGTAAATTGCAAGATTGTAAATTTGCAAGTACAACATTGACAAATGTCAATTATTTGATGAACTTTATAAATTTAATACCTATTTCTTTTATAACCTGTATAATCACACACAATATCGCTTTAATATAAATATGTACAAAATGTGTTTTGATACAAAGCGAATTTTTTATGGTTACCACAATCTCAAATTATGACATACTGGAAACTGGTCCACTATGATCACTGGCTGTTGGGCGTGTTTGCAGTAGAGTGGTGTAAAAGCATTTCCTCGTATAGAAAGGGATGGACTTCATGGACCTGTCAATTTTACCATAAATATGACTAGCATACCTGAGTTAATTTTAAGTCTGTGAATCAATTTTTGACATATTCACATGAACAAAATCTCACAATGTCCTGCAAATGAGTCAACTGGGCGTAAAAAAATACCTGTGGTTCTGGTTTCATATCGTGAAAAAATTAGGGTCGGTAGGTTGGAAATAATTTTTTTTTTGAATATTTTTTCATAATCACTGGCTGTTGGGCATGTTTGCAGTAGAGTGGTGTAAAGGCATTTCCTCGTATAGAGAAAGGGATGGGCCTCATGGACCTGTCAAGTTTACCATAAATATGACTAGCATACCTGAGTTAATTTTAAGTCTGTGAATCAATTTTTGACATATTCACATGAACAAATCTCACAATGTCCTGCAAATGAGTCAACTGGGCATAAAAACAACCCCAGACCTGTGGTTACGGTTTCATATCGTGAAAAAAATAGGGTCGGTAAGTCAGAAATAATTTTTTTTTTAATATTTTTTCATGGTTTTGGCAGTTTTTTGCTGGGCGATTTGCAGTAGAGTCCCGACATCAATATTAATTAACTATAGATGCGTATTTCCTATGGACGAATTTAGGCAATTTGGTTCAATAATTAGTGTGACAACAGACGCCATTTTGGCACGCCGTATGAGCAGCCCGCAACCACCTGGAGAAAATAGGGTCGCACATTCAATCGCGTTGAAAAAATAATAGGGTCGGCAGAAAAAGTAGGGTCGATCGGGAACCGGAACCTGTAGGTATTTTTTATTGTCACGCCCTATGACTTTTCAGTAGAATCAAGCTATTGATCTCCAACAGCCAAGGGGAACAAAGGGCTTCAAGGTTTCAAATTAGCAGGGCTTGATGTCATGTTTAACATAAAGATAATAATTAATAATACTTAAAAAACAATAAACCCTGTCAATACAGTTTCTATTTAAAAGTAGGGATATTTGCTATGAGAAATATCCCGTATTGGTATACCGGAAGAATTATACCAATATTATCAGACAGTATATCTGTGTTTTCTGGTATAGCAATAAAGAGTAAACAACATTTACATAACAATTTTATATCACAATGAAAACACTGTACGGTTATGTAAACAATTTTGTTGTAAGGAAGGAAACAAGAAGGAATTTTATCCTATCATTTCTGAGAATAAGGTAATTTCCACACCCCTTTGCATAAAAAGTGCTGTTCTGTAGCTTCTAAAACATTTCTGGGGCAGGACCCCCAAGCCCCCCCCCCCCCTATATTCAACATTCTTTCTTGTGTGTGGATGCAGATAGGGGTGCACCGGATTTGGAATTTTCAAATCCGGCCGGAACCGGATTTGGACAAAAATTCCGGCCGGATTTGCCAGATTTGAGATAAACCGGTAATGGGGTATTCAAAATGGCGATTTATGTTTTTACTATTTTTAGTTAGTGTCAGTTTAGATTTTTGATTGTATTTAAACCTTTTTTAATATTTTTTGTTTATAACTTAATATTTTATAATAATATAAGTGTTTTTTAAACTTTAAAGCTGCCAAATTGATGGTTTATCCCATTCTTGGTGAATTTTTTAAGGCGAAAACAGAAATTTAAATCCGGCCGGGGCCGTAAAATGGCCCCCAAAACTTAATCTTCAATTTAGTTTTGAAACTCAATCTTCTCACCAAAGTTTCAGTGCAGTAAAAATGAAGTTGTTTGAGTTAAATTTGTGACATGTGGAAATTAGTTTCCAATTGGAAACCCGACAATTAAGAAAAAATGGCTGGATTCCCAGGGATATTTTCAAACACTTTTCTACTACCAGTATACGGTAGTAAATACTCAATCTTCAATTGAGTTTTGAAACTCAATCTTCCTCCACAATGATTTTTTTTCACAATTTTTTTTTTTTATGTAAATGTTCCATTAAAAACCTGTTTTTCTATATAATTTTGTTCAAAAAGCTGTCGAAAACTGTTTCACTTCTGAGACACAAAATCTTGTAGAGGAATACTCGTGCCCATGCACACTAGAAATGTGTACCACAAACAGGACCACACATTATCTATTTTGAGAAATAGTTCAAAAAGTCGGTCCCAAATGAACCAATTGTCGGTCCCGATCGTCCGGTACAAACATTACGCAAAATGTTTGTTTCCGTGAGATTTATTTTTTGGAAAGTGTCCAAAAAATAATAAGTAAGGTTACAGAATTGCCATTATATACACTGCGTGAATCAACTTCCTTTCCGGTGCTCTACAGCTAGCTGATGGCCAAATTAGACTTTGAAAATGCCATTTCCGACGATCTAGAGATTTCAAAATTTTTCCACTCGGCGCCAGCCATGGTGGCGCTACGTGTAACTCCCACTTCCAAAATGTAAACACGTAAAAAGTTGGTCCCGAAATATTTTACACCCCTCCAAAATATTTTGGAATGTGCGCCCCTGAAAATTATTCTTTAATGTCCTCTTTAATGTCCTTCTTTAATCGCAATATTAGGGAAATTTATCTTTAGATGTGGAAGCACTGACTAAACAAAATGGCGTCCGCTTGTTCGGAAAATTAAAAAAAAGTTTAAAAAAAAAGTTAAAACCGACCTACCCTACCTAAGTTTTTATAAGAAGAAACCGGAAACCCACATTATTTTTTTTGGCCTAACTTTCTCATGTAGCATTCTAAGGAAAGTTTGTTTGTTAATTTAGGAACTACAAGCGCAAATTGATAACACTATAGAGACATTCCATGATAAACATACTTGCTGCAGGCAAGCTGCAATGCAAAGGTACAACGAAAATATTGATGATTATCTTACTCATATTGGTGGGCCTTAATGGGAGTCAATTGTCAGCTAAAATTCAAGCTTTGTTCTACTCCTAGGCTGGTGTCAACATATTTAGTCCATCACGGCTACTCCGCAACGGCTGAAGTGTTTGCTCAAACTACGGGGCAGCCGATCTCAGAAGATCTTGCGTCGATTAAAAACAGGCAAAGTACGTGGAAGCCTTTTATTTGTTCTAAATTTTAAGCAGAAAATGATTGAATTTTTGCAGGCGCGCACTTCGGAACGCTTCTTATCTCGTAAAAGTGTGCGTTTTCCACGCGTCACATTTGTTTTTGACAGGGTTATTTTTTATTATAAAATCGCGCGCCTTTCGTTTGATTGTTGAAACTGTTTGTCAGGTCTGTGTGTGTTAGGGGCGGATCTAGCCTCATCTGCAAGGAGGGGTGCAGGTTTT